TGTAGCCGGATTTATGGCAGCGAGTCAAGTGGTCGCCGTCGCAGGCAAATATCGCTTTTGCAAAACACCACAAGTGTTTATTGCGTTGCCTGCGACACTTAGTCCCTAGGACCATCCCCTGCCATAAATCCTGGAGTCTCCGAACGGAAAATAGAAAAGTGGCCCACGACTTTTGCCAACGCCGATGGGCCACTTGACTTTAACAAAGCCTAGAAAAGCGGAGATTCCACAGGATTCTCTCTTCACCCTAAGATAACGCGCTAAAGGCGAAATGGAGGGAGGTTGCGATGCACCGGAGTAAACTGATTGGTGATCTAGAAAAGGAAAAAACACTTGGCCACTCGCATGTGAAACACCTCTCACTTCGCAGTAGAATTTATATCTCGAATTAGTTGTAGAAAATAGAACATAAAATAAAAACTTGGTGTTTCAATCAAGAAACTGGTCTTTTGAAGCCTTAGAACATTAGTCGGCATACACGTGCAAAAACCGGCAAAGCTTGAACGATCGAAAGATCAACTGCAAGCCCCTAACAGATACTCAGTACCTGTGAACACTGTCTAGACTGCGACGTGGGACTGTGTATTCCTTTGTTTTAGAATGTACCACACAAGGAGTGCATATTGATCAATAATTAACCCCTTGACATATATTGACGTCTGGGAGATAACCGATACTCAGTACCTGTGAACACTGTCTAGACTGCGACGTGGGACTGTGTATTCCTTTGTTTTAGAATATACCACACAAGGAGTGCATATTGATCAATAATTAACCCCTTGACATATATTGACGTCTGGGAGACGTCATTCATTTCATGTGCCATTGTAGACTTTGACGTCTCCGAGACGTCAAGAACTGTCTCATGTTTCCCACTTATGCGAAAGTCTGTCAAAGGATATAAAAAAATGTTCTTTTATATGCTTGATATAGCTATCTATAATGCTTATGTCCTCTATTCTAAGTTACCTAATTCAACAAAGCAATCGATTGTACATTTTCGATTGAACAGTGCAGAAGATATGCTATGTAATTTGTCTCTTCCTAATTATCCGACACGTGGCAGACCGTCGCAAAATGAGTGCCCAACTCGGCTACAGGCAAAACATTGGACACATTTTCCTCGACATATACCTTCGACTAATAGAAAGGAACATCCTGCAAAGAGATGCCATGTGTGCGTAAAAAATAATACAAGAAGCGAAACAACTTGGCAGTGTAAAAAATGTCTAGTTCCTCTACATATTCCAAAATGTTTTGAAATGTTTCATACTTTACAGAGGTACTAATTTATTATTTGATAATGTTACTTAATTATTGTCCATTAACATTATATATCAACCTGATTAAATGTTACATAGCAATGCAAATTTCAAAATAAAATGTTCTGTTTCTAAGCTTGCACATAACTGTTCAGTTGAGCCAAATTAAATAGTATTTTTCGGACGCATCAAATTCCGTTTTATTTCTATGTCAAGGGGTTAAATAGTTATTCTGAAAAATTCGCATAAGATCAATCTCTTCTTTTTAAAGTTTTGCGGTACTTTGAAGTGTTTTCAAACGTTATTTTTATTGCTGAACGTCATCTTCTTAATCCACAGCGAAAGGGTTGAAACGAAAATTAAGATTTGCTACCAGTTTTTGTCGCGCCTTGACCAGAATCTGTGACTCATTGTTATACGGCAAGAGATTAACAGCATTGAAGTGTTTCACATTTGATACATTTTTAGGAATATTTTGTTTGAATATTTCAGAGTATGTTTTACATAGTGTTTTTTTTTTTTTTAATGGTAAAGCTATTTGGACATTATTTAAGAGGTAATACAAGGATAGTTCAGCTCATTATTTGTAATGGCGGACGCGAGACAGGTTTATCGCGCAGTTTGAGTGGGATTTATTAAGAAATTATGTTCCTTTACGTTCTTTAAGCTCTTCGTTCCCATCGAGCTCACCCTGTGACATTTATAACGACTTCCTGGCTTTCTTTCGTGACGCATGCATACGATATTTTCAATTTGTTCTTTCTTTCCGCGTTTCAAAGGAATTACATATTTGTTGCGACAAACGTAACTTTATTCTATTGCTCTACGCTAGTTATACGATTTCCTTTGAGATATACATCACTCGGATCTTATTACCTTTTCAAGTTTATTTATTATTACCTGCATCAAACGGAACAGTTTTAATATCGTAATCCTCAAAGAGAGAGAAAGAGAAAAGCAGAAAAAAATGGAAATTATTACGAGAGAACTTCTTTTCTTCTATCCGTTCTATTAAATTCGCTCGATTTCCTTGCTTCTCGATTAACGGAACATCTTCACCTACGACCACCCCCCTCCCCTCGGAAAGTCGTCGATTTGTCGCGTCGTTAACGCAAATTAACCCCGGCGATTTCACTAGAAGCGGCGCCGGAAGGGAAGGGGGCCGGGCGGCGCGTTCAATTATGCATTAATCGAATTATTATTCCCAATTATGCGGCGGCCTCATTAAAGTTCGAACCGATTAAAATTCGAGTCGGGTGATACGCGACCCCCTTGTGCAAAATTCAGAATATTCGACGGGGTAGAAGAGAGAGAGGGGGGCTAGGAACACCCGAAATTTAGCTAGACAGTAAATGAAATAAAGACAGACTCTTCAAGTGGTTATTATGGTTTGCACGGAATAAAATTGATCAAAAGCTTTCGGAGTACGTTGACATCTGATTATTTCGAGCAATTTGTACAAAATTACTAGCAGAGGAGGTATGAACGAAATGTTTAACGTAATTTTCGACTGTAAACTTAGTCGAATAAATTGATCGTTTTAATTGCTCGGTGTTAATCCAAAGATTTCATCTGAACTTCCATCGTAAATTCGTATTGCTCCAAGTTTTTAATGCTCGTTTCTACAAGTTCGAGAGGTGTACTTACACCACGTGAGAATAAAATAGTACACTTGTAAAATAGTACGTTCTCCGTGGTTTAACACCGGTGTAATTTCATTGCAGGTGTAATTTAACACTGGGGAACCCAGGGGAGGGTGAAAGAACGTTCACAAAGTTTCAAACTTCTAGGCCTCTGATAATCCGTTTTTACGTCAAAAAGTATTTGTAATTAACCTTCGAACGACGGTTGCCCTGGTCACCACTGACTCAGCTTTAAATATCTCCTGTTTCCACAATTTTAAACAACCTGGTGCCTAATAAAATTGGAAAAAAAAAAAATAATTTTTCTCGCCTGAGAAAAAGATTTTAGTACTGGGTCATATTTGACCCAGCATCCACTGTGCGCGCCACTAGCACGCCATCAGCTGTTCAAAGGTTGATAATTTCAGCTAAACTAACTAAACATCGATTATTTTTTATTGAAATTAAATTAAATCTTGCAACACGATTCGACACATTTCGTCCCTCACAGTACAATTTACGTCGTATCGAGGTGAAAGGTGAGAAAATTGATCAAAGCAATCTCCGCCGTTGTCAAAATCTTATCGTCAGCGGTGTACAGTAGAAAAGGGATTAAAGATCGGGAAGAACGGTGGGTTGGTCGGTTGTCCGGAACAGTTGACGGTTTTCCGGTGGAGTGCCGCGCGACACACGACTTCTCCGGCTCGTCGAGCGACCTTAATTTCCGGCCGAGGTGGCGGCCAGATACAGGTAATGCCCGTTGGCTTCGGTCGGGACGAAAATTGAGCCGGAGAAAGAGAGAAGAGAGGGGAGAGCCATGCTACCGCCGATTCAGCGTGGATTTAATTTAATCCCCGTCAGTCTGTTCTGGCCGGAGGGCGTCGTAAACACCCTCGACCGGTTATGCCGCACCTGCATCTGCACTCGTTTCCCTCGTAAGGGTGCGTTAAGCCAGCCCTTACCTTATTTAACGATCCGCGTCCAAGCCAGCGGCTGTGGCTTCTCCTTGCTGGCTGCAACACACTGTCCTTTTCCAGCCGTTGTTGCGTTTATTCTGCCTGTAAATGGCGGAAGAATGGCCTCCGCCAGTGGTATTTCTAGGGGGATACTGGTTGGGATACGTTGATGATGCCGTTTTTGTGGTATTGCCGCGAATGCTGGGCTTCTGCGGCCATAGGAAGAAACTGTTCAATGTTTCATGCGGCAAATTTCATTTAGAAAATTGACCATCTGAAATGGTATACGACGCGAGTGCCGAAAAAGTGTACAAATAAATGAGTTTAAGCAATCTCGTACCATTTTACCAGTTGTTCTCCATAGAAACCTGTGAAAGTGGTAAACGCCGAAAGTTTCAAGCGATAAACGACGTAAATGCCAAATGGACACAACTGAAAATTCTCATTTGTAACACTTACATCGTTTACCATTTCAACGTTTCAGTTACATTAGGCTGCGTATTTTTGATAATTTGACTTTTTTAAATTTTTCATTCGCCCGGTCGAAATATTATCGCGGTTTTACGAGATACAGATTTTAACGTGTGATAAAATTTCGAATAGATATTCTGTCATTAGGGAGAACTTTCTATCGTAATCTTCACGGTTCGCGAATCTACATACACACTGCATATACGTCCTAACCGACATAGAGAAACATGCTATCGAGGGGCTTCTAGAATCTATTTAATTTCCCATCCTCTAGAAACCTGCTGAATACCATTACCATCACGCAAATGCGAGGTAATAACGGTCTATTACCTGTACCCATGTCGAGAGATTGACGCGAGAACTGCGATATAAATCACCGGTCGACGATCCGGTCTAGCTAAACGATCAATCGAGAAAGCCGAGCGGTCTCAATAAAACTCGAATTAAGTAATGCACGCGCGTTCGATACATTTCGTGTCACGCTCGATGAATGATACCGTTCGAATAACACGACGACGAGAGAAAGGAGCAGCGGATAAAAGAGGTGGAGGTGGCGTGGAGATGAGAAGGGGCTGGGGGGGCGAAAGGACAATCGTTATCCGAGTTCAATTACGCGAGCACGGATCGTCGATCGGGTCTGGTAAAGCGATTTACCGTTTAATAAGGATCGTTCTCCTTTCTGTTTTCAGACAGAGATAGCGAAGAGGTTAAACGCCATAATTGCTCAGATCCTGCCGTTCCTCTCCCAGGAACATCAACAACAAGTCGCTACTGCTGTTGACAGAGCCAAACAAGTGACCATGACCGAACTCAACGCCATTATCGGGGTGAGTGCACGCCAATGGAAGATAAATTACTTGTCGTGATACACGCGCAAGTGTGTGTGTGTGTCTACCGTGACACGAGAGTGAGCAACGTGTACAGTGTCGTTCGTAACTTTGACGACACTCGTGAAAATCTGAATGATAAAGTGGCAGGTAAGTATCACACTCGAGGAACGTTTATTCGAATGTTTTACAGGTTATTAGGGTTTTTTTTTTTTAGGAATAGCGTAACTTTGATGTTGACGTGTTTAAAAGAATTTAGTATTCCAAATTATTCAACTTCAAATATCGACATTTTTATGGATAGTTTTTGTAAAATTACACTAAAGAAATTTGGTATATTTAAAAAAAAGTAAATTTGTGCGATACACGAAAGTTCCGCGTGATGCAATTAAACTTACAAACGACACTGTACAGTTTCCTGTAACGCCACGTTTGTATTTACCGCTGAAACTGTCCACCGACATTATCGGAGTTACATTGAACCGGCAAATTAAATATTAAACGTAGTCGATGGCACGAAAAGCAAACAAGTGCGGGCTGGAACAATCGAGAGAGATAGAGAGAGATCTCTCTCTCGAAACGATCGAAATTGAAACGATCCCGCCGCTTTTCTAATGCGAAATCAATTTCAGCGCGCGTCGTGCCTCCTCCCTCCTACGCTTTGTGAATCGATACGCCGCCGGAAGTGATTTGTGGACACGGGGGCAGGGTGCCTCTTTTTTCTCCTTTTTTTTTTTCGAGCGCGCGTGGCCGGTTGTTACTTTTATTGCACGGAGTTATCGAAACGGTGGGTAGATAAATTTCTAAATTGAAAACGATCGCGGTAGCGAAATTTGTTAGGAGTTTGTGAAATTTGTTGCGAACGAGACGGGATAAAGTTATTCCTCGCAATTACGTGATTTTATTAGTCGGCGTTAAACTCTGCTTCACAGCAGGTAAAAGTTCGAGTTACAAAGGTGCGCGAACGTCCATTTTTATTCCAGCTACAGGTGTATTTTACGATCTACGAAATATCTGTGTACAGAACAATTCGAAACTTT